CACAAAAAAAAAAAAAAAAAAAAAAAATTGCTGGGGATGCAGCTCAGTGCAAAAGCCCTAGATTCAATCCTGAGTACACACACACACACATGAAAACAAGCTGGTCTAGAGAGACCGTGAACTACAGAATACCAACCAGAGGACATTCTAGGAAAGGCAGGACTATGGAGAGAAAAACTCAAAGGCTGATAGAGATCAGTGGGACAGGATAAAGAGATGAGCACCAAGGACTTTAGGGCAGTGAAACCAGTCTGTGTGACACCATTGTGATGGCAATACGTCCCTGTGCATGTGTCCAAACTCACAGACCGTACACCACCGAGACATGGACTTTGAGTGACCCAAGGGGTTGATGTGGGTAACTGTTCCAGTCATCAGTTTTAGTGGCGCACTACTCTGATGGGGGAACGTTAACGAGGGGAGGCTGGAGGCATATGAGTGCTCTGGTTCTTTTAGCTCAATTTTGTTGTGAACCTAAAATTCTAAAGTAATAATAATACTAACCCAAGAACAAGGGTTCCCAAAAATCCCTCCCAACAGGACACTTTCCCCAGGGCCTATCTGGTCTCTGCCACCTCGAAGTGGTTTGGGGCCCTTGTATCTCCTCAGGAGAATGAGGCAGTGGCAGGCTTTGGTGGGCGCTCAGCACTGGGGGCTCTGGAGTGTGGCTCTCTCCACCCCTCCCAGCTCCCACAGTTTCCTGGAGGTGGCTCAAAGAGCCCTAGCCGTTGGCCCCCATCTCCTCCGCTTCCTGTTTGGGCTCCAGAGAGACGTTGGGCCGTTTCTGCAGCTGAGCTGGAGTTGGTGTGGTGGGAGGGAGTGGGTCAGGGGACAGCCAGCCTGGGGAGGGGACAGCTGGGCACTGCTTGAGCCTCAGGACCTGATTACTTAGCCACTTGGTGCTCGAATCCTCAGATCCCCGGCCTTTGAGAGGTCTGTGTATCTGCCACGTAGCCAAGGCAGGGGACATCACGCTGGCATTCAGTCAGCCCTCCTTACTGGCTGGGGGAATTAGCCAGCAGGCCCTTTATCTAGCTGAGCCCCAGCAACAAATGCACAGAGGTTCATAAGTGGCAGCATTTACTGCCTGGCAGACGGAGCACGCGCTTCGGCCACGTCCCAGCTCCAGACCTGGCAGGATGCTGGTGGACACATGACAGCACTGTCTGCCACCAGAAGGCCTGAGCTGAGGAGGCAAAGAGGCAGTGCCAAGTGCTCCCTGCAGGGCACACATGAGAAAGCTGCTGTCAGGAAGGATTTCAGGGAAAAGACATCCTCTCTCTTGTACAGGGGATTGATCCTGGGGTCTGGAGACTGAGCCACATCCCCAGGCCTCTTTTTTATATTGGGGATTAAACTTGGGACGTTGCACTTCTGAGGTAGGTGGCAGAACCACTGAGCTAAACTCCCAGCTCCAGGCCTTTTTAAGATTTTTAAAAATTTTTGGTTTTTGTTTTTTTTCTGTACCAGGGATCGAACTCGGGTCCTTGTGCTTGCGAGGCAGGCAGTGGAACCATTGAACTAAATCCCCGGCCCAATTTTTTAAAAATTTAAGACAGGCTTTTGCTAAATTACCCAGGCTAAACTCAGACTTGTGATCCTCCTGCCTCAGCCTTCCAGAGTGCTGAGATTGATTACAGTCCTGTGTCACCACACCCAACTTGGAAAAGACATTCTTGAGTCATATTTTCAAGGGTGACTGGAGTTAGTACAGCCAGGAAAGCTGGGAGGGGTGTTCCAATGGCAGAGATAAGAAGGTACTGTACCTGACCTAATATGGGCCTGGCTATGGTTAAAGGAGGTACCAGGAGGAGCAGCCAGAGGTGGGGAGAGTCCCAGGGTCCAGGACCAGCCCAAGGTGTCTGGCTCTGGGGTCTGTGGTTCGTACTTGCAGGTCTGGCCTCTCCCCGACCTTGCAGTCGGACTTCCAGGTGAGCAGAGCTGAGGTCAGGGCTCCACCTCCCAACTGTGCAGTTGGGGTAGAGCCTGATTCTCACAGCCCTGCAGACTCAGCCCTGGGTGTGGGGGGGACTGGGAAAGGCAGGGCTGCCTCTGGGGAGTATAGGCCACCATGCACCCTCAGGACAGCTGGGGGGCAGGAGCTCCTGGGAGGCTGTGCCCACACGATCCAAGAGAGAGGCTATTTGCAAACCGGGAAGGCCCTTCCTGGGTGTCCTCGGTGGGGTCGGAGGGGAGAAGATTCTCTTTGAGGCTCTGCAGAGTGGGGTAAGGGCAGAAGGGAGCCCAGCTTCCGCTTCTCCAGCCCCAGGACAGCCAGTCTCCTGCCGCTGTTCCCAGCCAGTCTGGAGGAGAAGGTGGACACTGGGACCCAAGTGTGATCTTGTCTTTCCCCACCAGGTCCAGGCTCAGACCTGCCTCCCTCATCAGAGTAGGGACTCCTTCTGGGAACAGAAGCCAGGTCTCCTCTGAGACAGCCTCCCTGGCTTCTCGCACCCCTGGCAGGGCCTGTACCGTCACCCAGACTACACCAGCCTGGCCTTGATGTCTGGAGGCATTCTGCTCTTCCCCAGGGACCGGTGGGGGCCCCTCAGGAGGACTTCCTCCTGGGTCAGCGAGCCTCCATAGAGAGTGGGGAGAGGAAGTGCCCATGGCAGGAGAGGAAAGTGGAGCTGGAGGCATAATTTGCAGCTTCCTGAGCAAAATGAAAAATCAGGGCCCCTTGCTCAAAATTTTTAAATTTCAGAAGAAGGTCTGGGGATACAGTTCAGTGGTACACACCTGCTTAGTACATGCAAGGCCCTGGGTGCCATCTCAGACTGTAAAACATGAGCAGATAAATAAATAAAAATAAATAGATTTCAGGGTGGCACCCATAGAACATTAAAGCACCCCAGCTAAGCCTGGGGCTCTGTGAGCCTACACAGATGGTATCACAAAGCTGGCCCTGCAGGAGGGGGTCTGTTCCACCAGAGCAAGGACCAGACGGACAGAGCGGAACTAGCCCTGCTGGACTACCCACCAGGGAAGGGTGAGGCTGATACCAGGTCCAGAGGATCCTGTGCGTTTGAATTTGAACTTTATGTTAAAGGTGGACACTGAAGATTCCTGAGCCATGGAGGAACAGGAGAGGCTGGGCCGTGATGGCACGTGATGTCAGACCTCAGGGGGCTATGAAAGTCATCAGCTCCCCACTTACAGAAGAGAAAGGACAGAGACTTGCACAAGTTACCTGCCAAGGGGGCAGGACCAGGCAGGAGCCCCAGCTACCTCGATGATTCTTGTCTTGGGTCCTGTGGGGAATAAGTAAAAAATCCATGCACGGTGCAAGAGGGCAGCTAGTGCTGGGCCTCCAATGTCTGTGTTACCTGAAGGACGGGACCCCCAACACCCCGGGTCCCAGGGCCCTGCCTCAGAGTCTCTTGTGTCCCCCTCTTCTGGGGTCCACCCTTTGTTATCTCGACTGCCTTTCCTGCTCAGCCCTGGGAGCTGTACCGCACCACGCCCCTGGCCCTGGGAAACCCCAAGACTAACTGAGCTGTTGCCTGCAGTCGAGGAGTGCAGAGTGGGCACTGTGCCGCTGGAAGGCAGCCACAGCCGACGAGACTCCTCCAGCCCAGGCTCTGAAGCTTCCCCAGGAGCCCCCAGCCAGCTCCCCACAACAGACTCCATGCCTGTCCCCCTCCCACTCCCCCTGCACTGCAGGCCCAGTTCCTGCATTCCTGCAACCCAGGCAAAGTGTGTAGAGATCTCACTGGATCCTGCTGGTCCCCTGGAGCCCACTGATCCGTTACTTCTCAGGGCTCTGGGGGAATGCAGAGCTTCAGGAGCGGCCCATGCAAATGTATGCAAAAGAGATGCAAATATAAAAAGACAATTTTCAATTAAAATCAGTGTGGACCTTGGATAGTGTCCCACCCCCTTTTTCTGAGAGGGGGTGAACCCAGGGGCACTCTCCCATTGACCTCCACCTTGTTTTTTGGAAAGAGGTTCTTGCTAAGTGACCCAGCCTGGGTGTGAATTTGTGATCCTCCTGCCTCAGCCTCCCCAAGTACTGGGATTATTGTGCATGTGACCAGCTCTGTTGCTTGTCTCTTCTCTGTTCTACCTGAGTCACCTGAATCTGTGAGTTTGCTCCAGTTGTTGGGGCAGTGAGAGAGCCCTGTCTTCCTGTGGGGAATCCCAATGGCTGTGTGGGTTGGGGCAGGGAGATGGGGACACTGTAGGGCTCAGAGGGACACGTATTGTGGACTCCCAAGTACCCACTGTAAACCCTTGGGGTCACTCTAAGGGAAGAGGGGAGGAGGGATCCAGGAGCAGTGGTCCCAGAAGGGCTCCTCAGGCAAAGGGGAGCAAATTGAGGCTGCTGAGGGTGAAGGGGGTCAGCTCTGAGTCTGAGACAGAGGCCACGACTCCACAGGTGGCCTCCTCAGTGTTGGCTGGAAGCCCCCAACAGTGCCAGTTGGGGGCCACCACTGTTTCAAGGAACTCAGAGGAGACACCTGGCCAGCAAGGCACTTGAGCTCCAGGGCCGTGACCTCTCATCTGTAAACACAACTGACAGGTGAGGAAACCACTTCACTGTGCGGATTCTCCCCTCCTGATCTGCTAAAATGATTTATAACCTGTGCCCTTCTGCTGTCTGGGCAGGAAATGCTGTAAAGGTCTGAAGGCCGGAGCCACCCCCCCGCCCCGGGTTGGGGAAAGTTAGCAACAGCCGGGGCTCCGCACTTGGAGACCTCTCTTGTGCACAGGAGCTGACACCATTGGTCCCACACAGGGGAGGCTGTGGGGGCCGTTCCAGTGCAGGTGACAGGAAGGTGAGACAGGACAGAGAAGCCATGGTTGGCAGCTGGGGTGCAGAGGAGCTGAGTCGGGGTGGCTGCAACTGTGGGAAGCACAGAGTCCGGGTCTCATAAGTTTTACGTGTTAGCCGGGCCCAACTCTGCCTCTTCCTAGCTGTTGGAAACTGGCTAAGTTCTGCAGCCTCACCCAGCCTCAGTTTCCCCACCTTCAAATGGAAACGATATGCCTGGGGGTGCAGCCGTGGTGCATTTCAGCAGGACACCACAGGGGTGGCACTGGGGGTCGCCTGAGCAGAAAGGAACAGCAATAGAGCTGTAAGGTAAGAATTTCTTTCTTTTATAGAAAAGGCTGAAGCCCTGTGTCATCCTGTTTCCTGCAGTGGGAGCACCAGCGTCGGCTGCGGGCCCTGGGCAGGCCTCAGTCTGGAGTGTGCCATACCTGCCGCTGCCCCCAGCTCTGAAGGGCCGTGGGGACTGAGTGGACTTCAAAGGGCAGTGCTAACAGGCAGCTTCCTGCAGCTGCACAGCCACAAAGCACCCAGATGCCCAGGGCCCAGAAAATCTGAGAGGCTTTCTGGAGGTGGGCCCAGACCCTAGCTGCAGCAGAAAGTAGGGTGACATGGGGGTGTTGAGAAGCAGCCCCTTTGCGAATTTTTTTTTTTTTTTGGATGAAGGAGTATTGCACATGCTAGGCAGTGCTCTACCACTGAGCTACATCTTCCAGACCTTAAAAAATTTTTTATTTTGAGACAGGGTTTCACTAAGTTGCCCAAGATGGGCTAAAGTTGTGATCCTCCTGCCTCTGCCTCCCAAGTAGCTGGGATAACAGATGGGTGACTCTGTAGCCAGCTCTGTGATATTTAGTTTTATCTTATTTTATTATTTTAATATGTGTGGTACTGGAGGTTGAATCCAGGGCCTTTACACTAAACTATCCAGCCCTTTTATTTATTTATTTGTTTGTTTGTTTATTTCTTTTTTAGGCTAGAATTTTAACACTTATTTTCCCTTAATGTTACCAAACTTCAGCTTCACCAAGTAACAGTCCAGATTTACAGAGTAACAAGCTTTTTCTCAGGGTTTAACCATTTTTAGGGGACAAAATTTACCAAGTAACATGGTCCCAGGTATATCCCAGAATTCTAAGCCAATTACAAAGCTGTATCTTCTTAGGTCTTAACTGGAATCAAACAATCTAAACACTTGTAACATAATCAAAACAGACAGGGTCTCACTAAATAACTAAATTGCCCAAGTTGGGCTTCAAAGTTTCTATACTCCTGCCTCGGCCTCCCAGGCAGCTGGGATTACAAGCATACACCACTGCTTCCAGCTCTTTGTGCTTCTGGAGTGAAATAAATCTGCGGTCACCATAGCCTAGGGTGCTGGGCTCTCCTCCATGTCGATTCAGAGGGGTCTTCCGGAAGGTCATGACCAGAGAGAGGATCAGTGCCTGATAAGCCAGATCGAACATCAGAATGTCACCTACTCACCCCAGGGACACAGGCAGGGGCTCCTCCTCCAGAAGGCCCACCGGGAATGTGTTCAGCTACAGGAAAAGCCCTTGGGACTGCGGGGGGTGTTGTGGCTGGAATGGAGGGGGCTGGACCAGAGGACTGAGTCCAGCACAGGGCCCGGGGTAGAGGCATGGGGGTGGGGGAGCAGTCGGGAGCAAGGCTTAGAGGCTGGCTCGGCAGGTGGGAGGTATTTTTAGTCAGGCTCAGGTGCAGACATGGAGACCTTACGCCACGGCCCGACAGGTGGTTAATATTTAATCCCCTCCTTAATCATTAACTCTCTGGCTGGCTGGGGAGGAACAGGGCTGTTGTCAAATCAGTAACCACAGGCTCAGGAACAGAGTATCCACAGCCCCACAGCCTCCCTGCCTCTCCCCGCCTGGGCTGCTAGCTGGGTGGGGTCACCCTGGGGCCCTGGTGTGGTCTCTTTCCTGTTGACTGCAGGGCTTGGACACAGTAGGAGACCACAAGAGTCCCCACTGGGTCCAGGTCACCCACTTAACCCAGAGGTGCTTACAGGGGGCCAGGTGAGGGGTGCTGTCTGATCCGCCTGAGTGTTCCAGTCCCTGACCCCTCTTGCCAGGCCCCGTGACCTTGGGCAAGTCACATGGCCTCCCTGAGCCTCAGTTTCCTCATGTGTGCACTGAGGCTAATTATTTATAGCTGAAAGGAGTGTCAGGAGGTTGGAGATGTGGGTGCACAAGGAAGTACTTTCTAAACTGAAGACCGAGTTGTCAAACTGGTCAGAGACAGCGCCGCCCAGGAGAGACACACGCCGGTCACCAGGAAAGGGACAATTGAGACACAGTTCTTTCCGGGGTTGGTTTCAGTTCAGTCAGTTCAGTTGGGTGTCTGTCAACAAGGCTGTGTCCTAGCCCTAGGCCAGGCTGCAGGATCATCGGAGAAGGGGTCAACCTCACCCTCTGGGGGCAAGGGTGACCCAGCTCGGGCTGAGCCAGAACCGAATGGGCTGTGCTTGTGAAAGGCCCGGGGGGTCAGGGCTGTGGGGTGCCGGGGATGCAAGGGGCATGTGGACTGGGGGCTCGGAGGAGGCTTCAGGACAAGCTGGCAGGAGAGGGTCCTGAGGGGTGAGTAGGAGTCGGAGATGGAGGAGGTGAGTGTGGGACACTGGCGTGCAGGAAGCCTGGCACATCAGTCAAGCCCACAGCCTGTCCCAAGAGTGCACGTGACTGACACCGAGTCACCAGCCACCCCGTACGGGGGCACAGTCACCCACCCTGTGGGTGCATGGACTCCCCCACCTTCTCTCTCTCTGCAGCCCCAGGACTGGAAAACTCAGTGCACCTGTTCCCCAGGCTGTATGCTTTCTCAGCTAAACTGATACCCACGAGGACTGAAGATTTCTAGGCTCCTGGAGTCTTTGGGGTACATCAAGAAGCTGCGGTGCCCAAAGCCACTGAGGGTGCAGCAGGGACCCCTGCGTGGGGGAGGAAGCTGTAGGCAGGGAGCTTAGCCTAGGTGTGGGGGGGCAGCTGGGACAGGAGACAGGCAGGAAAGTGGCCGCAAGTGGGGTTCCCTGCAGGAGACAGGCCTGGGGTGACATTTAGGAAGGAGGGATTTGAGGGGCAGAGTTCAGCTGTCCTCTGGGTCCCCCCACTCACACCCTGAGCTCAGGTCCTAGAACTAAAAAGAAGGCAGGAGTGACTCCTGAGAAATGAGGGTAGGGGAGAAATAGAAACAAAATTCTATCCTGTAGGGACCCGATAGGGAGTGTGTCCGAAGCCGAACCCTCTCAGCACACACGCACTGCAGGAGGCCAGTTCTCATGCGCATGCACGGTACCTGCTGTGAAGGTGTTTTTGTTTTTGTGGCGCTGATGATGGGGGGAGTGAACCCAGGGTCCTTTAGACATGGTCTTGCTACACTGCTAATCTGTGCAGGATAGGCGTGAATTTGCAAGCCTCCTACCTCAACTCCCCAAGTTCTGGAATTAGAGGCATGTGAGGACAGAGAATAAAAGGCTGACGTACTATCCTTGTTAGGGAGCCCTAAAAAAAAGGTGCAAATAGCACAGGGCAAGGCTTTGAGTTCTGACTGAATCCTGAATCCTGAAACTCAAATCCTGCCTCTGCCCATCTCCTGCTGTGTGACCTTGGGCCTGTTATCCGACCTCTCTGTACCTTGGTTTCTTGTCTGTAACATGGAGAAGATAATAGGAAAGTAATTGCTGCCTGTGGTTGTTGTAAAGGTTCAATAAAACCCAGGGCCCACCCAGCACAGAGCCTGGTGTGTAGTAAATGCTACTGAAATTGGAAAGAGAATGTGTTCTCGAAGATGTATTCAGGGAGACATCCTGGAGGAGGAGACGCAGGAGTTGGCTCTTGCAGGACCAGCAGGAGCCCCAGGGAGCTGGCGGAAGGGGCAGACAGAGGTAGAAAAGGACAAAGCATAAAGGCATATGTGGGGGACCACGACAAGTTTGGGTGGCCACAGCTGCTGTCTGGATAGTGGGGGGTACTGGGGTGGGGAGGGGGTAGGAAGAGTTTGGAAGGAAAGGTTTCCTGGAGCGGCCCTGGTGGCTTGGGAGTGTGGCTCCAGCAGTAAGGCAGGAAGGAGCAGGATTTAGGCATGGGCTTGGTGGCCTGCACCTGTGATCCCAGTACTCCCAGAGGCTGAGACAGGGTAATCAGAAGTTCAAGCCCTGTCTGAGCAACTTTATGAGACCCTGAAAAAAGAAAAAAAATTACAAAGGGCTGGGGATGTAGTTCAGTCCAAAGACCCTGGGTTCAATTTCCCAGTACTGCTAATAAGTAAAGAAAGAAATGTAAAAAGCAGTAAGGACTTGCTGGAGAGAATCCCAGGCAGAAGGTTTCCGAGAGGCCTGGGCACTGGGCTCAGGCGGGCTGGATCAGCAGGAAGGGGCTGAAGCCTCCTCTGCGGTCTGGATGCCCAGCCTGACTCCAAACATCCTCCACCGGCTCCTTTCCCGCTCTGGCCTCGGCGTACTCTCTGAGTGACACCGCCAAGTTGCTTCCCTGGGACAGTGCCCAGATGGGGTCGGGCAGCAGGCTGAGCGGGAGCCAGTCCAGAGCTGGGCCCCTTTCCCCCAGCGGTGGCCCCTTGGCTTATCTGGGTGTGGGCAGAGCTGGGTGGGCGAGGAGGGGGCGCTCCTCCAGCGGGCAGATAGTGCAGCCGGTGATAACGGCCCGGCCACCAGCTCAGACAGCATGGAACTGCTGGGGCTGGTGTTGCTGCGACTGGTGCTTCTCCGGCCCCTTCCTCCGGGTCAGCTGGGTACAAAGCATTCGGCGTTGGTGGTGGCCTATGGGTTGTTTCAAGGGACAGTGGGGCAGAGGCCAGTCTATGGGGTAACAGTAGGGTGACCTGGGGCTTTCCCAGTGTTCGCGCTGAGAGCAGGTCCCGGGAAACCCCGAAGTCCTGAGCCAGTCGGCGTGGATTGCCAGGGACTGTCCGGGTTTTTAAAACTCATTCCCTCACCGTGGGAACGCCCTTAGTCCTGGCAGAGCAGACAAACTGGTCACCTTCAGAGTAAATGAGTTAATCTGGGGGTGGGCAACCAAGGAGGTGGAGGAGGGTCGATAAACAGGGTGTGGGAGCAGCCAGCTCCTGCCCCTGTTTCTTTCCCATTATTTTGTCCTCCGTGCACCCTGCCTCTGGCTGAGGGAATGGCTGTTACTTTTTACTGAGAGGACGAATCCAAATCCAGAGTCCCAGGCCCCTTCCCTAGCGGGCTGTGTATCTGGCCAGAGGCCGGGTGGATGCACATTCCTACAGATCTGGCCAGGCTTCCGGGGGACCCTAAGAACGGAGATTGGCTCCAGCAGGGGCTGCCACACCAGGATGTGACTGGCAGCTGAGCTCTGCGGCCAAGAAGTGCTCAAAATCAGTCAGGGCACCTGGCTTTCTGAGTCCTCTCCCCATCCTAGAGCCCTTGCTTCCCTTGTCCTGCCCTGCATGGATTATGAAGGTCAGGCTCCTTCCTGGACTGACTAGGAGAAGTATAGGAGCATGAGGGGATCGTCAGGGACACTTTCCCGAGGGGACTCTAGGGAAGCCTGCTGTGGTCTGCCTTCTGGCCTGGGCTCCTGATCCCTTCCTTCCTTCGGTGCCAAGACAGGGATACTCTCTGCCATCTCAGTGGGCACTGGCCGGCGACAAGGGCCAGAGCTGGATTGGGAGATGAGATCAGGGCAGGGGCAGGAAGCACAGCGCCGAGCAAGAAGGCGCTGAACTCTGGGGACTGGGCCTACAGGGACAGGAGAGGAGCGTGGCGTCCAAAGGATCCTCTCTGCCTATGTCCCTCTCTGTCCCCTTGGGTTAGCAGCGAAGGACATACCCAGAGACCCGGTGAACTCTAGGCCGTCAGATGCAGCAACCCCCAGAGCAGCTGTTTCAGCCTGCTCACAAACCCTTCCCACTTCTCCTTCCATTGATGGTGAGCTGGCCAGGCAGACAAAGCCTGCTAAGTGAAGCTGGCTGTGGTCTTGCTGTGAACACCAGAGTTGGCAAATAAGCTAAACTGAGCTGGCCATGCTCTGGCTCAGGTCTCCAGAAGCTCTTTTTGCCTGGAGAAGATCTTTGGCACCTTTGTTCCCCCAGACTCTCTTCATCACATTGTTTTTCTGTCCCTGGGGATTGAACCCAGGGCCTTCACACTGGGCTATATCCCCAGCCCTCTATTTTGAGACAGTCTTGCTAAGTCACTAAGTTCCCAGACTGGGCTTGCACTTGTGATCTTCCTGCCTCAGCCGCTCGGAATTCTGGGATTGCAGATATGTGCCACCATTCCCGGCTCCTTCATCTCACCCCCATCCCTGTTTACTTATCTGTCATCTCCCTCCTGCCCACAGTCCTTGTCCTGGCTGATCCACCAACACCACCCAGGTAGTGAGCTCAGCACACGTCTAGAAGATTGATGTGTGGTAGGAGATGGAAACCCACTGGTGACCATGAAGTTCCAGACAGGCAGGGGCCCTGGGGAGAAGGGCTGGGAACAGGAGCTCAGGGAGGGGCAGGGGCCAGTCTGGTGTACATGGGGCGGGGGGGCAGCCGGAGTGCCGTGAGCCGAGTGGCCCCATTCTGTCTGTGCCTAGCTCTGCCTTCCCTCCCTCCTTCTCCAGATTCGGCCACGAGACCAAACTGTGTGAACAAATGGTGCTGCTGGCCCAGGGGCCAAGACGGGACCCCCAGACAGGCTGACCAAAGGGTCCCGTCCACCGACTTCCTAGGTCTGCGGGAGGGGAGCGGAGGGGAGAGGTCGG